TAGTCCTTCCAGATTCTCTTTCTTTCTTCAAGAAATCCTTGAAGACCGGCTCTCCTGAAAGTCTCTCTGGTCCTGAAAGCTCCAAAGTCCCTTACTTCCTCTTAGCATGTAGCATCAATGTGGAGTTACCTGTGTAATCTATGTTCTAGTTTACTGTTAAACCCTTAATGTTCAGGGCCAACATTTCCCCCCCGGCTCACCTGTCCTTGTGGGAGTTCAGAGCGTTAAGCAGGTTGTGGCAGCGGTCTTGCCTCGGTGTGTCAGAGAGCTGCGGGGGGGGGGGGGGGAAAAAAAAAAAAAATCAAAGCCCGGTTTACAAGGGGGGAGACGCAAAATGATTTTCTGAGAGCTGGAATCACCTCAGACAGTACCGGTTATGTCAAATATTTGATTAAATTCATCCATTTTGCCAAATCCTTCAAGAAAAAACACCAAAAGCTGTAAAATAGACTAAATGAGACGTTCACAAACCAGTAAAAAGCGCAGTAAATATGAGAACTCCTTTAACTTTTGCTACGTCCTACTAATTTCCACACAGATAAGGTTTATAAAACCCCTAAATGCGATTAAATGTGAGTTTAAAGAGTCAGATGGTGGTTTCTTGGATGTCCCCTTTTCATACCGAAGCCTTTTGGTCACATTAACAGCTTTTCTGAGATCTCCAGCAGAGTCCACCGCTCTGAGACTGCCGGAAGGCCTTCGGACTTCTTTTGAGTTGTGAATCCAATTAAACAGGGTGTTCCAGTTGATTTTTTTTTCCTATTGGGAGCTCAGAAATTCTCATTTCGAAGTTCAGATGGAGTGCACCAACAGCATAATAGTATTATGGCTATTATGGCCCTGCTCGTTAACTTGGCACATAATAAAATAAGGAAAAAGCATGTAGTCACAAAAAATAAGTGATTAAATAAATAAATGCTTCCACTTGATAGAGGAGGCCCAAAAATATTTCCAATATTAAGGAGTTATATTATAGCCTATTATAGATTTTACTGGGAAACTACAATGAAATGAGCTAAACGCTGTTGATAAATATCTTAAATAGGTAATAATTTATTCAAATAAGCTGTTCAAACTGTTACTTTTGGCTAAACAGGTTTAGAAAGAGGCAAAATCAGCTTCACTGATGGGTCAAATAAGGCTGCGTATTACATAAAAACACTCAACTTCTTCACTTGGGAGCGAACACGAGGGGTCAGTCTTTAGATTTAAGGTTTTACTTTAATGGGCATTAAATGTCACTCGCACAAAGCCTGGCAGCATTTCACACGATTTCATCATTGTGCTTAAACGAGGAAATATCAATACCGCGCCCAGGAGCAAAGATTCCCAGTTCTCGTTGGCGAAGGACAGGATCTCATGGTCGAAATCAAAGTATTTCCTCTTGCAGCACAGCGAGAGATGGTAGAGCACCAAGTGAGCCAAATCCGCCCTGTGTTTCACAAAGAGACATGACCAGTTAAAGGAGACATATCATACCCTGTTTCAACAAGTTAAACT